TTTTTTTTTTTTTTTTTTTTTTTTTTTTTTTTTTGTTTTGTTTTTTTTTGGTGCGGGCGGATACCCCGGCCGGGAGATGAGATGAACAAATGCTACCAACCATCGCCACCTTCATCCTTCCTTCACGATTCCTGCTGAATGGATGGAGACTCCCGACGTCTGTCTGCCAGGTTACACCAGACATCAGCCTGTGGATTTGCAGCCTGTGGATTTGCAGCTGAAAGGAGCGTGCCCTGAGCGGGGACTGCCGTCCCAGCTGAGAAACCTGGAAAAACCCCACAGCAAGGCCTCTCCTTCTTGTAGAAGTCTTATTTCCGCCCCATGAGCACCTAGGGAAATGCTAAAGACACCTTCAGGTTCCGTACACTGATGTAAAGTGGTTTCCTCAATCAGACATATATATGTATATTCATACACCCCCATACACACACACAGAGGGAGAGAGAGATCACTGAACTTGGTTCTAATCCGACAGCTGTGGTCCATTTTAATAATTTAAATGATCTCTTTTGGAAACTTGTTATTTATTTTATTTTATTTTTTTTTGCTTTAAATGGTCAATTCGTGAGGCTCTTTTTCCCTTAATATTTTTCATGGTGTCACCTGAGTACGGACAAGGGGCACGTTACGTCTCATAGTCATGGAAAAAAAAAAAAAGGGGGGGTCTTTAAGAATGTGATTATTTCCTTTTGGGAGTCCTTCATGTCTCCATGGCAACAGATGTTCACGATGCCTGGCAACTGCCAACTGCTAGAGTTCATGACGTTGACTTCAATGAGCCGGTTGTGTCCCCTCCCAGGGCTGTGTGATCTCCGTCCGTTATTGCCTCAGCTCCCCTCAGTCCTGGTTGCTAAAGTAGGCGGCTCGGGTGGCCAAATCAGTTTACTTGGATGCATTTTTTTCCTCCATGGTAGTAAATCTCTCTAGGAAGCTTTCTGGCCAATGTCTGAGCTCATGCATATTATCCGGGAGGCTTTAAATGTTTCTGGGTTGTCTCCCACGCCCGGTGCAGCCCAGAACAACTCAGGGCTGGGAACTCGGGATTGCTCTCTACTTTAGCTATTGCTGCCCTGGGCTACTTGCAAGGGGGGCACGATGCCTGGCAGAGAAGAATGGCTGTACCTCTCCCCTTCACTGTAGTTAGAGAACTTCTCACTTAGAAACTGACTTGGGGAACCAGGACCAGACGTTTCTGTTCTGTGTGAGACTTCATTGAGCTCACTGCTGCCGTCTGACCGTGCTGAAGAATTGTCTCCGGGGACACAAACACCCTCCCGTTCGTAAGCTGTGCAAATGCACAGAACAGGCAGATGCCACCTGATCAGACAAGGCCCAGCAGCAAGAAGACAGACATGCTCAGCAAGAAAAGAGCACCTACCACCGATGCTGCTGACGTGGAAGGTGGTTCACGGGAATGGGAAAGGCCACCAGAAGGGTCTAGCATGCCGCCCCAAAGAAAATTTAAATAAAAAGTGATTCTTTAGAACATATCATTGCAGTAGTCTTAAAGCTCTGGTCTAAATCTCTATGTTTTAAGGTAAAGGAGAGACTGGGGCCCTATGAAGCTTCTCTTTTTCCAAGATCAAACTGATTAAATCAGTCACAATTAGAGCAGAAATGACAGAGAATCATGCTAGAGCGCCTCTCTCTCTCTCTCTCTCTCTCTCTCTCTCTCTCTCTCTCTCTCTGTGAATATAGGTCTAGTCAGTCACCAATGGTATCTTTATTGACATGTTATGTCTCTCACTGCAAAGTATGAGAATCGTTTCTGCTTTTGAAGAATTTGAAAGCTGGTGATCAGTTTCAACCTTAGTTATCCGTATAAGCACTTGCCCGGAAGAGGGATGGACGGCTTCAGCTTCTCTGTTCAATCAGGTGATGTCCATAAACATAAAGATATAAGACTAAAAGGGTACAGAAAATACAGGATACCCGTCATAAATATATATTTACTGAACTTTGAGTATTAATCTGACATAGGAAGTTACGGCAGACAGCCTCTAAGAACTCTCTCTTCCCAAGAGCCTTCTGGTATCCATGCCGTTGAATTTCTTTCTGCCTTGAGGGAGGGTATGTTAGTGATTCACTTCTAATCGATAAAATATGGCAGAAGTTGTAGGATACGGATTCCAAGATTAGGTTCACTAAAAAGACCATGGGTTTTATTCTGGATGCTTCTTCTCATTACTTGCTTTAGGGTAGCCAACTGTCACATCATGAGACCACCCTGAGGAGAAGTTACTATGAGTGAATGAACTTGGAAGCAGACGCTTGAAGCCTGAAAGAAGCCACATGATTGGACTTGGAAGAATACCTCCCCCAAGTTCGGTTTTCAGATGGAACTATGGCCCAAGCGACGTTTGGATTGGAGGTTTACAAGAGAGTCTCAATCAGAGGACCAGTTAGGCCATTCCTAGGTTTCTGAACCTCGAAGACTATTTTGCTAAATTCTGTGCTCAGTGTTTTAGACAGCAGTAGAAGATTACCACAAAAGGCATTGAATTTGGCAGAATCAATAAAAGTATGCCTAACATATGGACTTTGGAGCATGTAAGATATCTAACTGAACTATTTTAAGAGAAAAAAAACAGTTATTAGAAGACTGTGAAGTTGTCTCCCTGAACCCAAGAACAGAAAGAACGATATGACCCATGAAGAATGGAAACAGAAATGGAAAGTTATTGCAGACCAGATCGTGGGTCTCTTCTTGTGTATGAAACCATTAATATTTCATGATGGCTCACTTCCGCCCCAGTGACTGACACATTCTATTCCTCCTTACACATGGGATCATTGGTACTCTGGGGTACATGTTGCAATGGCCAGTTTTCCATTTCAAATACGTCTGTGAGGGTATTTCTATAACAGAATGGTGTTTGAATGGATAAACTGTATGGAGAAGGTTGCCATCACCAAAGTGAACAAGGGTCATATAATCCACAAGGGACCCAAACAGAACCAAAAGAATAAAAGAAAGATGAACTGTGTACTTTGGCTGGGACATCCATCTTCCACTGTCTTGGACACATGTAGTCCAAGATCTTGGGCCTTTAGACTCAGAGCAGAAATCGTAGCATTGATTACCATGGTTCTCAGGCCTTTGAGTTTGGACTAGGACTATACATTGACTCTCCTGGATCTCTAGCTCACAGATCACACACAGATCTTAGATTACGTCAGCTGCCGTAATCACGAAGGTCAGTGACTCAAGTAAGTTTCTCAATATGTCTATGCCTACATCTATAAATTATAACTATATAATTTCCATCTATATCATTGTCCTGTGGATATCTATCTATCCCACTGGTCCGCTTGTCTATAGAGTCCTGACAAGTACCACAACAGAGACGTACTTAGGTTGCTGCACCTGAATTCCCAGTTCATGGAAGGAAGCCCATCTTGGGTCAGTTGACCCTACTTTAATCTTCCTAGCAGAGGAAAGAGAGCTACAGAACTGGTTTCTCCTTTCCAGAAAATTCTTTGGAAGGGGAGCGTGGAAAGTGTAGTCAGGAAACAAGTTTATTTAAGCTTAGATTTATTTGATTGCTAGAAGGAAAGGAACTTGGAGCTTGGAGCATTTTCTTCACACATCCTGAATAGAGGACCAGGAACACATTGCAGAGAAACGTGTACTAAGCCATGACTGGGTCGCTTCCGAAGAACCATCACTCTGCGAGGATTCCTTTTTTATGGGATGAACAAGATAATTCAGATGGCTACCACGGGCAATCCCAGCTTTGCAATTGCGTAATACTAAAGGAAAGAGAAAACACAGTTGTACCCTCAAGACATCCTCGTAGAACTTGACATCTTGACCCAGTTGGTGCTTATTGGGCAGTTAGATGACTAAGCTCTCCCCGATGCGGATGTGAGGCGCCTGGCCAACACTGGGATCTCAGCCTTAAGAACAACCAAAGGTGGCTACTCCCGCCTTTTCGCCAAGGTAGGAGTCTGGAAAGATGCAGATCCACAGAAATTCAGAAGATCCCAGCGGTCTTCTATAATCAAAGGTTGCGTGGAGAACTCACAAAACAGAATCGTTGGAAAACACAGCCCATTTGGGGGCTTCTGAGATGGCTCGGTAAAGTTAAGAGCACTTGTTCTTGCAGGGGACCTGGGCTCAGTTCTCAGCACCCACACAGTGGCTCATGATTTCATCATCTATGCCCCAGCAATGCTGAAGCATGCATGGGCAGCCAGTTTCTGGTGGTTCTCCAGTTGTTTCTGTCCTAGGAAGTCCTAGATGCTTGGTTATCATCATACACATGGTCCACAGTCTTCCTTTATGTTGTTTATCCAGCATTTTTGGGGGCCCTTCCTCTTTGCCTTTAAAGTCATCGCTGCGCAGCCTGCTTCTTTGTGTGACGCCTAGAATCCTCCTGACACACGCCAGCCCATACACATTTGTCATTTCATTGTCCAGGTTTCAGAGTCTGATACTGTAATTTTGTTGTTGTTGTTAAGTCTCTTGCTGACCAAACCTTCCCTAGTGCCTGGAATACAGCCCTCACTATTCCTACCCGTCTCTTGACGGCTCATAACCATTTGTAATTCCGGTTCCAGGGGATCTGATCTCCCTTTTAACCTTCATGGGCACCAGGCATGCACACGGTGTCCATACATACACGCAGGCCAAACACCCATACACGTATTATAAAATAAATAAATCTAAAAACAAATGGGACCCGTCTTTCCCCTAAGAATGTGATGCCTTCTGGAGAGAGCTTATTGCAATGACTGGATTACTGTCATCTGCTAGCTTAGTGTATGCTCCCATGCACTATTTTTTCCAGCCTCTTCTTCCTTTGCGTATGCAGGGACAGACCTGCGCACAAGGTCACCTCAATCTTAATCTCAACAGTTGCTTTCTCTCAGGCCCTCAGAGGTCAGTCTGCTGCAGACCGCTTTCTTTTGCAGGAACAGACCATTGGCCTACCTGCCACCTCGCGTCATCTGTCCGTCACCATCTTCATCCGGCGTTTAGCAGAGCTTCGGGCTGACTTTTTTTTTTTTGCTAATCTCAGCATAGAGACTCCTGCCTGGCTGCCAGATTTCTGTTAACCGGAGGAAGCGGGTGGAAACGTGATCTCTGTTCGGGTCCAGCCTCAAATAGGAGGCGTGTCTTCGATTTGGACTCTGATAAGAAGGCAGCTTTCTAAAACAGGGGACTTGCGCAAGGAATGCCGAATTCGTACAGCGGGCAGCTCGGCTCTGTGCTGCCCTCCTTCCCACCTGAACCCCCTCGCACAGAGAGAAGCACCGTGTGCGCTAAGGGGCTGGGAGCCCAGCTACACCTTCCTAACAGGAAGCCGCTTCCCTCACCAGGCCAGATGGATCCGTTGGTGTCTGCTAACTGCTTTGAAATGACATGGCTCCCCTTCCCCAGGCACTCAACCTGATTCTAGCCCTCGGTGTGATATCACAGGGGGGAGATGTAGTTCCTGCCTCTGAAGAGGGCTTTTCTTTCTGGACGCGGTGATTGCTACTCACTTCTCCATCAGAGGACAACACCCTCAAGAGGACACACGACCCCGTGGCCCTGCCTAGTAGCCAAGGATGATAGGAGAGGAGGACCCAGTGCGAGAAAGAGACCATGAAAGCATGAATTAGGACAGGAGAGAGGCAAACATACATACATTTTACACACACACACACATACAGAGACAAACATATATATATAGATACACACTCACATGTGTATGTAGGTACACGTAGAGAGATCTAATTATTATCAGAATCTGGGGATTTTATCCTTCCCTTGTATTTTTTTTTGTAAGATCTGCTGAAAGCAATTGTAGTGTGATCTCAGAATAGATAAGCTTCCCTCAAACTCAAGCCAGCTGCTTTGCCCAGTTAACGCAGCAGGACTCGCTCCACTGGCTTTACATATCTGCCCGCCTTTTTGATTAGTGGCTTGCTTTAGTTTGCGGTGGTTTTTTGTTTGGTTTGGTTTTGCTTGTCTGTTTGTTTTTTTACCTTCAAAGTCCAGCCAAACGTGACTCTTGTGCTTGGCCAATATAGCTTTTTGGTTTTGCATTTGTGGCTTGATTCTCTACTTCTCTTGTGGAATGGCATGGGGCTTCCCCTCCTGTTAAATGGCACGTCGTCCTGCCAGGCCCCTCTCGGATGGTGCGCCCGTCTCTGTCCGCCTCTGAGAGACCTGTCTCAGGCAGTCGTCACGCACAGCTGGAACGCAGGCGGCTGAGGCTTGCTCTTCCCCGTGGTCATGCTGAGCCTTGCTAAGTTGGATTCCCTTCTTGATCTGCGGGGAAGAAGATAGGCGGCAACTCCTTCCTGTCTTCCACCCTTCCTCGCCTTTCCTTCTTTCTCTTTCCTTCTGACCCCCCCCACCCCCTTCCCTTCTTTCCTTCTTCAGCACTTTCATTTTTCTTGCATTTATGCATTGTGTGTGTGAACGCGTGTGTGTGTGTGTGTTCACATGATGTACCGGAGCACACGAGTGAAGACCAGAGGAACATGTTCTGGAATAGATTCTCTGCTCTTCCACCATGTGGACCCTAGGCATCAAGCAGACGTCCCTGTACTTGGCAGAAAGCACCTTTACCTGCTGAGCTGTCTTGCTGACCCGCTGACCTCCCCACCCCCATTTCCTTTAGTGTGTGTTCATCTGTTCCCTCCACAACCGTTAATTATAATATATTTTCACCATACGGTCTCATCAAAACACGTACAGGGTAACTTCCATTTAGCAGGGACCTCCCTCGGGTCCGGCCTTACAGCGATAAACAGGGCAAAGGCCTTGACTTAAATCAAGCACACACCCATATTTTGGGTTAGTCACAGTACTTCCCCTAGTGGAGTACCACAAAGATCTCCGGGCGCTCAGGGGAGAGGGTCCGGTCCTGTTGGAAGAAGAGTTTTCTCCACAGTGGTAGAGACTGAGCGGAAATGCGGCCGCAGGCAGTTCAAGAAGGGCGTGAAGGCCAGACGATGGGAAACTGCCAAGTGAGCCGCTCACGTGACTAGGGCACAGTCAAGTGAATAGGGACAAGAGATGGGTGAAGGCGGAGAATCCCATGATGCACCACTGCCCACTCCGAGATGGTTGCTTAGCCCAGTGCTAAAGGCCTCTTTGTGGGACCACAAGAGGAAGGCTCCCAGGAGAGCAGACGGGTCTCCTTGTCGCTCTCCTTACGGAGTTCAGACTAAATTAGCCAATTACGGTTGCCGATCTTCCTCCCAGGACCTTCTATTCTACAGTCCAAACTCAGAAAAATGATGAAGACGAGTGGGTTTGAATTTGGGGTTTCACCAGTCAACACACTTTTCAAAAATCAAGAGGAAAAGCCGCAACAATGTGAGCTCTGAGCTTTGGCAAGAAAGAAAATACTCACATTTTACAATTCATTGTCACCATCTGTAGCCGAGGCTGATAATTGCCTGTTGAATATCCATCCTCTCCCCTACTTCCTGATAAAATATTACTTCCTGTGGCAACATAGCTAAGTCACCACCATGTTTTCCAGTCCTGGCGGGCATGGGATAGAGTACCTGGGGACCCTCTTAAAAACACACGTACACAACGTGATTGGCTTGGGTTTCCCCCCTCTCCTGTCTCCTTCCATCTTCTGTTTAAAAGCAGCACTTTTGCAGGAGCCAGCACTGGGGTTCACCCTGAGTAACTTGCACCTTTCCCTAGGAAGCTAGAAGCAACACACACACACACACACACACACACACACACACACACACGCCCAAGCTTAGAGTTTTCCCAAGCTCTCCTAAGTGTTTCTCCATCCCGCCTCGGCTGCCTGTCTCGATTGTGATGTCTGTGAGTGTGTGGATGGTATATGAGCATGTCAGGCTCCCATCTGACTTTTGGCCTCTCTCCCCCTCTCCCTCCTCCTCTCGCTGCCTTTGCACCTTCTCTCTGCGCTCTTTTTATGATGAATGGCCCAAGATCTTCTCATGTCAGAGGTGGCTCTGTGCCTTCTGTGTTCATTCATGTTCAGCCAAGGCAGTAAATAGTGCTCCGTGTCTCTGCAAACGAAGGAAAGCAGGCACATGGAATTGATTAGAAATGTGTTAAATGTGTTCAGGGGGCTGGAAGTGATGGAGGAAGGTCATTGGTTAATTATAATAAACCAACTGCTTGGCCTCATAGCTTAGAACATAGGTGGGTGGAATAGACAGAATAGGATGCTGGGCGGAAGAGGAAGTGAGGTCAGACTCTGCTCTGCTCCCAGAGAGACGCCATGCTCAGCTCTCCCTGGCAGATGCAATGAAGCTCCTCAGACCCAGGATGGACGGAGGCTAGAATCTTCCCGGTAAGCGCACCTTGTGCTTACACACATCATTAGAAATGGGCTAGTCCAGGTGCGAGAATTAGCCTGTAAGGGCTAGAGTTCATGGGCCAAGCAGTTCTTAAATGAATACAGTTTGTGTGTTGTTATTTCGGGCGTGAGCTAGCCGAGCGGCCGGGGTGTTGCGGACGCAGCCCCGCCGCTCATATTACAACAGATGGCGGCCAGAAGGGTTATGTGGAGGACACTGGGAAGCGCCACTTCATGGAACTCCCTTCATGGAAGGTCTTGTTGTCTCACCTGCTGGGGTTGTGCAAGCAAGCAGCCTACCGCTGTCAGCTGTCTTAGGGGCCTGCCTCAGCGTTTGAACATCTTGTCCAAAGCCATGCTCTCTTGGGGCACCATTTTGGCCTCCTGCCAGATAAGCGACGAGCCCTGGACGCTCTTGATCTCCCTGTGGTTTTGACCGCAGCTTTCACTGACCTGCACCCCAGCTTTACTCACCGTTTGCCCAGTCCCGTTGCCTCTCACAGACGTGCAGTTTTAATAGCACTCTAGCCTGCCAAACTACACCTAGTGTCAGCTTCCAGAGAACCCAGCCTGCGACGTGAGGTCACCCAGAGATTAGTGACTAATGGCAGAAAGTCACAGACACCCCTGGGCTTGAGCTACAGAGCAGAAGGCAGGTCGCCAGAGTCCAGAATCCACCTACCACTGGCAAGCCTGGAACATCTGACAGGGTTGGAACTGGCCATGACTGAACATTCCAGAAGCCTTTCTCAATCACACAAGTCACTGGAACCTGTGATGGAGGTGGGTCTTGTAATAATAAAGAAACTGCCTCGGCCCTCATAGGACAGAAAATTAGGTAGGCGGAGTAGACAGAGGAGAATGCTGGGAAAAAGAAGCTTAGGGAAAGAGTCGCCATGATGCTCCCACTCCAGACAGACGCAGGTTAAGATCCTCCCTGGTAAGCCAGCTCATGGGCTACACAGAATATTAGAAATGGGTTAGAACAATATGTAAGAGCTAGCCAATAAGAAACTAAAACTAGCCGGGCCAGGCAGTGTTTGAAAGAATACAGTTTCCGTGTAATTATTTCTGGGTATAAACTAGCCATGCGGGCGGCCGGGTGCCGGGGACGCAGCCCCGCCGCTCCTAATTTCAACAAACCTGGAGCTTCCCAGTGCTGATTACAATGCCACCAGAAACAGAAAAGGAAAAATGTCTTCTACCTTACTTTCACCTGCCCAGTACCCACGAGGTCTTCCAGTTATTGGAAGCTGCCTGCAAGTCCACTGGCAAAGGAGTCTAGACATTACTTTTGTAGAATTCCAACCCTCAGTAACACAGGGCAGAAAGGCAGCCACAGAACTGAAAAAAACCAGAAGCGCACGACTCAAGTCTGTACCTTATGACAAAAGAACTAAAAGGGCAGGGTGGCCATGAGTGCAGATGCGACCCAAGGCCCACCTAACAATGTGTTTGCAGCCTCACAAAAGACTCTGGAAATAAAGGACTGAGCTAAACGGAACCCTGTCTCCTGGCCCTAAGTTCATCAGTGTTATGTTGCCTGAAGCCGTTAGGTTTGTGGGAATGTGTTACACTTCGGTATATGACTCATCCAGTAAGTAGTGAATGATGTGGAATGGGACACCCAGGAAAGCATCTTAGATGAAGTTTGGAATGAAGAACCATTTTTCAAAAAGGAGCAAGAATATAGGCATCAGAGTGGACAGCAGATACAAGCTCCTGAGGGAGGAAGTGTACAGCTCTTCCCAGGATCTACGTGTTTGTTGTAATAAGAGCGGCGGGGCTGCGTCCCCAACACCCCGGCCGCTTGGCTAGCTCATGCCCCGAAATAACAACACACAAACTGTATTCATTTAAGAACTGCTTGGCACATGAACTCTAGCCCTTACAGGCTAATTCTCGCACCTGGACTAGCCCATTTCTAATGATGTGTGTAAGCACCCCAAGGTGCGCTTACCGGGAAGATTCTAGCCTACGTCCATCCTGGTCGGAGTTTCATCGCGTGTGCCTGGGAGAGCTGAGCATGGCGTCTCTGCTCCAGAGAGCAGAGCTGTGGAGTCTCTCCGGGAGCAGAGCAGAGTCTGACCTCACTTCCTCTTCCGCCCAGAATTCTATTCTGTTTACTCCTCCCATCTATGTTCTAAGCTATGAGGCCAAGCAGTTGGTTTATTATAATTAACCAATGACCTTCCTCCATCATGTGTTAGTGTTGCTAGACTGTGCCATTGGGAGTATATGGTCAGAGATGAAGCCAGGGAGGCAAGGAGACTTGACAGTAGCTTTCCAACGTCGCTGGGTTTTAAAATCCTAGAGTTAGCTGGGCACATGACAAACTCTGAAGCTCTTTATCACTTCCAGAGGTTCTACTGAAATGCATGTGAGACACTGTGTTGACATAGGAATTTTTAAACAAATTCTTTGGGTGGTACGGAGGAGATAGAGTGAGGCCCTTGTCTTTGGCAGAACCTCAGTAACTGAGCTGGAGAGGTTGCTCAGTGGTTAGGAGCATTTGTTGCACTTACAGAGAGCCTGCGTCTAGTTCCCAGCACCCACATGGCAGGTTACAACTGTCTGTAACTCCAATTCCAGGATGTCAATGCTTTCTTCTTTTCTCCAAGGGCATTGCTTGCATTTAGAAATATACATTTATGTGCAGCCAAAACATTCAAACACATAAATGTTTAGGAAAATAAGACCAAAATATCTTATTAATTAAGATAAATTATGCTTGAATGCAATATTTTAAGAAATCAGGATTAATGCCAAAACTGCACAATGAGGGAAAGAGAATGTTTAAAGAAAGACAGACTCTTTAGATGGTTGAAAGGTGCAATCTGTATTAAAAAAAAAAAATCACTGCTCTAAACCTTAAAGGAACTTGGGTACCATCTTGAGGTTTGTACTGTGCCAAAGAACGAGGCTTTGGCATCAAGAAGCAAGAAGGTATCAGCAGATGTCTGGCTTGGAAAGTTGCTTTGGTTGCTGAGTGATAAGTAGGCGGGGAATGGCAGATATATGTGACAAGATTTTAAGACCAGAGGGAGACAGACCAACTGGAAAGATACTGCACAAATCCCACTGGCAAGTGATTTACTGTGTACTAAAATCAGTCACAACAAGGAGGTAGAGGAGACACAGAATGAATCAACAGTATGCCAGAGTTGACTGACTGGCTTGCAAGGGTGAACTGTGCACTCTCTTGCCCAGTTTTATATTCGATGACAAAACGCCCTTAGCTTCTGGATCCTGCGTAGCAGAAACCGGCAGCCATTACAAACCAGAAGAATGACTAAGAGTTTGTGGTTCTGTTCTTGTTTGGTTGGCTTTTAGTTTGGTTTTGCTGTTGTTGTTAGAAATGCTTCTGAAACATTTATCAGTATATCCATGGCTGAGAATCATGTTTATGAATATCAGAGAGGAATTGACGAATTAGATGTGGAGAACGCGGTGTTTAGAAAGGGAAATATCCCCTGTGTTCTTGAGCATTTGAACACTTGGTCTTCAAATGGTGGCACTGTTTGAGAGTAGTTTAGGAAGTGTGCCTTTGCTAGAGGAAGTACATCACTTGGGATGGGCTTTGAAAGTTTATATTTTCAACCTATGTCCAGTTGCCTTTCTCCTGGCTTCCAGTTCAAAACGTGAGCTATCAGCTTCCTGTTGTGGCCACCATGTCTACCCTTTGTTTCCTTGCCTCTTCCTTCTCAAAATGGACTCTTTCTCTCTTGCAAGTTGATTTTTCTCATAATATTTTATCAAAGCAAAAGAAAAGTAATTAATACAGAAGGAGGGAGACCCAGAATAACCCATAAGATGACAGTCTGGGTCAAGTAACTAAATTATAAAATTTGAGGCTAGGGAATTGTGCCCAGTAGGAAAAGGCAGTGTGCAAGGAGGCATCTATGGTCACGCTCAAATTCATGACTACTACCTATTGCTGTAGTTCAAAGCATCTCTGAAGAGATACAAGCCCAGAAGATTTTAATATGCTTAGCAGACTTTGAGAAGCAAGCTTACTAGGATGAAGTTTTGAAGACTCTTATTTCCTCATGCCTTGGTCTGTATGGTGATTTGAATAAGCATGCCCCCATGGGCTCATCGGAAGTGGCACTATTAGGCGATGTGGCCTTGTGAGTGCAGGGGTGGTGTTGTGGGATATTATTTTAACCAGGCAAGGATGGGTTACATTTGTTTATTCTGTGCAATATTACTGTAACTATGTGAAGGTGTGTGTCGTTTGCTTCCACTTGCCTTTGTTACTGATGGAAAGACGTGTTGCGCTTGTTTCCGCTGTATTTGCTTAATTTGGAAAACGTGTGTTGCTGTTTCACCTTGCCTGTCTGTGGCATCGGATTGGTCTAATAAAAAGTTAATGGCCAGGCAGGAGAGGGATAGGCAGGGCTGGCAGGTAGAGAGAGAGAAGAAGAAAGAGGAGAAATCTAGGCTCAAGAAGAACAAGAAGAGGAGGAAGAGGAGGAAGAGGAGGAGGAGAGAATGAGGGAGATCGCCAGTCAGCCACCAGCCAGCCTCAAGAAGCAGTGGAAGTCAGACACACAGAAAAAAAGAAAGAAAGAAAGAAAGAAAGAAAGAAAGAAAGAGAGAGAGAGAAAAAGTAGAAAGCCCTGAGGCAAAACATAGATGAAGAGAAATAGGTTAAGTTATAACAGCTAGGAAAAGATGAGCCTCAGCTGAGAGCAAACATTCATAACTAGTAAGTCTCATGTCATGCTTTTGGAGCTGCCTGGTAGCCCCAAAGAAAGCCTGGTGCCGTGCGGCTGTGTTGGAGGAAGCGTGCCACTCAGGGTGGGCTCTGAGATGTCAGATGCTCACGTCAGAACTTTCTGCTGCCTGCCGATCAAGACGCAGGGCTCTCGGCTCCTTCCCCAGCCCCGCGTCTGCCTGCCGGCCGGCCGCCGTGTTTCCCGCCTTGACAAAAATGGACTCAATCTCCAAACTGCAATCCAGCCCCCAATGAAATGTTTTCCTTTGTAAGAGCTGTTCTGGCCATAGTGTCTCGTCGCAGCAATAGAACACCAAGGTGACCGGTCTGTGGCCTTCAGGAGCGTATATCTGAGAAGAAGCCGGGAGCACCTTGAATATGGTGCTCACTTAGGGACCACACAAGATGTTGCAGGCTGAGTACTATCTCCTCTCCTGGGCACCAGATTGAGTGTCTTCATTCTAGGATCTGGCCTGCCAATAATTTATCGACTCACGGAGGATAATTCATGAAATCTCTTAGTGCCTTATTTTCTTTATTTGTGAGATACTTTTACCTCATTTCCCATTTTAAGGTGTAATTAGGAAGATAAAATGGTGTCATATATTTTAAGGTTCCCCTCCTCTCAAATTTAAAGTAACTTCTTCAAATGTAAAAATGTGATCACACTATTATAAAAGATAAGACATTAAAGGCATTGTGATAATCGTTGTATGATCTTGAATGACCTCATTAGACTACTATGAAGTTATTAACGCCAGTGATTTTTCCTCTAGCCTAGAGAATTTTAGAAACCGGTTAGGCTTAAATTCTATGGCTAATAATACATTGAAATTTTGTGTTGTTTTCAATTCTGACTTTAGTCCTCTGGAATTTAAGCGATTATTGCTGTGCCTCATTATAAGGAAATTTATTTGGTTTCGTGATCAAAGATTTCAGCCTGACTACTTGTGTTTAAGTTCAAAGTTTCTCTAGATATATTATCACTTAAACTAGAGGGAAACAGTCTTCCTTAACTAGAGCACAGGGCCATGACCTTGCCGGCATGATGGTGGGCAGCTAATCCACTTAAAACCAGTGACTGGCTTTGTATAATTTATACGAGCCCATGAAAAGACAGGCCTCCATAGACTAATATTTCAGCTGTCTTTCCTTCCATTTCATCCCCTGGATGTGGCAGCAACAATCCCATGAATCATTCCTGAACCGAGTCGATATCAAACATCCAGACCTTCATCTGCGTTCGATGAAGGTCCAACTCACTCAAGGGACGTTCCAGAAGGCTTCTGAATGCATGGGCACTTTGCCTTTGACACCTCTTACTTCAATATCATTGTGCTGGCTTTAAGATAAAACCTTTTAAATTCTGATATTGGAAAAAGAACTTTAAATTCTTATTTAGAAGGGGGGAGACGGATTCACTTCCTCATGCATCAGGCAGGCTTCAGAATACTTTGACCAAGAGTATGTCGGAAGCATGCTTTGTCTGGAAAGTCCACGAATAGGCTATGTACTATTAGGAATATATCTCTATGTCTCTTTGAATGCATATTCTCTAGGTAGTCTCTCTAAGGATGCACCTTTCAGAAGCTAGATATTAGGCTAAGAGAAGCCCAAGCAATCAGGGAAAGTCTTGTATAGATATAGATGTTCTGGCCAACAGTACTAGGTGAGTTAAGCTTTTAAATTAACCCAACCATGGATCCATCTAGCCACCCAAGTCTCCTTACTCAAGACCCACTGTGAAACAGGGACAGCGCAGAGACTTCTCAGCTGCCTGTATCTGAAATGTTAACCAGCAGAACTCATGCACATAATGAAATTATTGCGGTTAATACCACCAAGTTTGCAGGAAACTATTATATGACAATTGGTAATTAGAACATCGAATGACCTTCTTTTTCTTTACCAAGTGCATGAAAACTTATTGACTGGATCAAAGAGGACAAACTCCTTCAAAAACGAGCAGACTGCGCTGAGCCTTTGACTAGGATCCAACACAAATCC